GCCAGAGCAAATGGCCCCAGGCCGGCAGCTGCAGCAGCGCCCAGCACCTTCCAGAAGGCGCTGGGAAAGAAAGTTGATTCGCACGCAGTGCTGCCTCCTCCTCTCCGTTTCGCAGCCCTCTGGGCGCAGTCCAGCACAAAGGTCTGGCCCAGAGCGCATTGGCCCATTGCTGCAACGAGAGCCTCAGGTCTCAGTTTGAGCGACGCAGGCCAGGAGAGAGAACTGCTGAACTCCTCCAGATCAGAGCTGAGCCTTTCAAACCTACATATTTTTCAGGCCACGGAGCATCGGGAATTTTGCTTTGCAGCCTGATCTCCTCCAACACGCAGGCCACGAGCTCCTAAGTGCGACCGCCAGCGTCCCAGCTACAGAACGGATGGGGGAACTGGCAACAGGACTGGGGAAACTATTGACCGAGGGAAGCAGGGGCAGGTTGGTAACTGCTCTGTTGCTCCAATGGAGCAGAGCTGAGCTATGCCAGGGGATGTGCTCCGTTCTAGGGCCCTGCCAAGAAAAAAATTAGGTTACGTTTAGTGCTGGTGTTCTGTGTCACAGCTTATGGGTCTTACGCAGAAAGAATTGGCACAAGACTGCTTTGTCCAGCAGTCCTCGAGCTACATCAGCTCATGTCTAGCTCCTTCAACGTCTACCAACTAGCGCCGCTCTGTCCCTGTTAGCTGTACCGGAGGGGGTCGCAATGAGGTTTGAAGGTCTCTGCATCACGTCCCCTTGCGGAGAAGTTTCAGGCCCTCACCTTCTGAGAGCAGAGCAGCGCAGCGATGGATCCACGGGGCCTGCAGAGACACCACCTCTTGGAGGGCGGAAGAAGCCACTTCCGCCACGCATCGAGTTGGCACCACAGCTTTTCCAGGGCCTGCTTTGACTAACACGTTGGAAGCACCTCCTCGTATTGCTTTAGGTGTGGGAGAAGGGTCAGCTTTCTTCATTCCAGTAATTCCTGTGGCATATAGCAAGTTATCCAGGATATCTTAAGTTATCCCAGATAAAGGCTTCATTTTCACCAGCAGCAATACTGGAGGTACTTCAAACACATTAAGTTACAAAATAAAGTTTTGTCTGATGCTACCTATGCTCGAGACAGAGCGGCCGCGGTCTGCAGCTCCCCAGGTTGTGCCGTTGCCGAAGCGGACGACAGCAGTTGCACAGCACCGACGTGCAGCCACAAACCCTGGGAGCCCTCTGGAGGCCTCACCCGGGAAAGCAAAAAAGCATTTTTTCCTGGGGAAATTCATCGCCGGGGGACAAGGAGGGCAGCAGCCAGCTGCGTGGAGGAGCTGTTGCTGCTCAGGCAGCAGCCTGGAGCGACCCTGCCAGGCCCATCGGCGCGCGAGCGGCTCCTGCCACGTTCCGGCCTCGGATCCCACCTCACCTCGCGGCTTCGAGCTGTGTTCTGATAGGAGGTTTTGCAGAAGAAAAGGCAGGACATTCAGTGTTTAAGTTGCCCTCCCAAAACCACCAAAATGAACTTCAGCATCTCTAGAGAAGCAGTTGGGCCACGGGAGTAGCTGTGCACCGTACCAGGCACGCCGGTATCACACTTCGGTTCAATGGGGCAGTTAACTGAAGACCAGCTCCTTGGTGCAGAGCTGCATTTGATCCTTCCTGGAGTTACCCCCAAAGCCCTAATGCAAGTTTAGGGCAGCTGAACAGGACACAGAGCACAGACCCTTCTCTGCAAGAGCCCCTGGAGGTTAAGAGCCAAAGTTTCACCCCTGTGTGCATACCTGTTCTTCCAGCAAGCACTGGGACACCACAGCAGCTCTGCTCCTGCGAGAGGCCTTCAGCCTGCCCCACCACACTCACAGCTCTTGGCACAGCACCTGACAGAGGTCCTCCCTGCCTGCTCGGGCAGACAGGAGCTCAGATCACAGCCAGAGGCAGCTCCAGAAGTGACCTTTACTTTTAAGAGAGGAATAAGCTCTGCCCAGAAGCACAAAGCACTCTACAAGGCAAGACTACAGTAGCCTCACTTCTGCCTCCTACCTTTTAAACCAAACTCCCTTTTTAAACTAACTTTTAAACATGCTTGCCCCAATCTCTAATACACACTCCTCCAACATTACCCCCACCAGTAGCATTTACCCCCCTCCCCCAAAAACACCCAGCTCTTGTGGGGGTGGGTGGTGTAGGGCCTGGGAGCCAGGGCGTTGCTGTCACCTGTGCTAGCAGCCCTTTAGGGCCAGCTGGAGCCTCCCCTGCTGGGGCTGGTGGGGTCAGGGAGGTGGAGGTGGAGGTATTTCTGCTTTCCTTCGCTGCTCGGGTCACCCTGCTTTTCAAGCAGGAGGGGTTTTCAAGTCGGGCTCCGCGTTTTGAAGCGGGCTGGCGCCCGGCTGAGCGCAGCCGCTAGGCGGGGGTGTGAGCGGGCCGCTGC